CTCGGGCCGGGCGAACGGGGGGGATTGGGAAAGGGTGGGTTACGAAATTTGCTGCATGCACCGGCTTCGGCCTCACCGAGGGGCCCATTCCTCGATGCATAGCCGCCTCCGGCGCCGGGAGGCGCCGGGAAAATCAGCTACGTGAGCTGATTCTCAAACCCCCCCTTTGCTATCCCCCCCTTTCGCCCGACCCGAGCAGCAGTCGGGGTGGCGATTGTTCGAGAGGGCACGGGAGGACGACACATGTGACAATTCGTGTCTCCAGGCTTGGAAGAGCCGTGATGATGATGATGATGACGAGAAGGAGGAAGAGGATGCTGATACTGATCATGATGATGGTGATGACGATGCTGATGTTGGTGATGATGATGGTGATGATGATAATGACGACGCGGATGCTGTTGATGATGGCGACAGTGATAGCGATTGTGATTGGGACTGTGGTGGTGATGATGATGGTGGCGATGGTGATGATGATGATGGTGATGATGGTGTTGATGATGCTGAAGATGCTCACGATGATGTTGATTATGATTATGAATACGATGATGATGATGATGATGATGATGATGATGATGATGATGATGATGATGATGATGATCAGTATGACGATGATGATTATGACGAGGATGATACTGATGATGAGGTTGATCAGGATGAGGATGAGGGTGAGGATGATAGTGGTGATGCTGATGATGAGGAGGATGCTGATGATGGTGATGCGGATGATCATGGTGATGATGGTGATGTTGATGATGACGATGATGATGATGATGATGATGATGAGGATGATGAGGATGATGAGGATGCGGATGAGGATGATTGGCTCTTATTCGCCATTACGGATCAAGCCGAGGGCCAAGGCCTCAGTCAAGAGGCTTTGGCCCAGCTAAACAGAACAAATCCTCCTCCTCCTCAAGACTCCCTTACGGCACGGCACCAACACGAACAACGACAATCATGCCAGCAATAAGACTTACATCTAGAACAACAAGACCAACAACAACAACAACATCAACATCAAAAGCACCAACAACGCCGACACCAATAATAACAACATTAAGTCTCACGCAAGGAAGAACCCAGCTTTGAAAAGGAACGTCCGTGCCTACGATGGGGAGCGAATAATTTTGGCGGCGTGGCTGCTAAGATAACGCGCCGTCCGGGGCGAGGGCGATATCCTCGGATGCACTACCCCACACGACGGCCGGGAAAAAACAATGTTTCAACAGGGGTGGTAATACAAATCGTATAGGACAAGGATGATGAAGATAATGAGGCCAAGCTCTTTTTCTTATTATTGTTATGATTATTTTTACGGTTATCATGGTTACTATCATTCGAAGTGTGATTATTCATATTGTTATTCGTATTATGACTATGTTTCTTATTCTTATCAGTTTTATTATTCGGATGATGCTTCTTATCGTTGTAGTTCTTGTTTTACTCTTAGCATTACTGTTATCATTATTACTCTTACTCTTATCATTATTGTTGATATCATCATTATTCTTGTTACTAGTATGATTAATAGTATTACACTTATTATTGTTACAATTATTGGTCTTATTGTACTTCTTGTCTTTTTTGGCAAGCTGCCGTAATTATTTTGCGCGGGTGCGGTGCTAAGATAACGCGCCGTGCGTGGCGGGGGCGATATCCTCGGATGCACGACCCCACACGACGGCCGGGAGCAACCAATGTTTCAACAGGGGTGGTAATACAAACCGTACAGCACAAGGATGATGAAAATAATGAGAAACAACTATTGTTCTTATTTCGATTATGATTCTGAGTATTCTTTGCTCATTCTCATTATTATGCTTATGATTATTCAGATCATTATTTTGATTATGATTTTGCTTATTTTTATTATTGGTATTATTACTCTTATTACTACTCTTATTATTATCACTCTTACTGGTATCATTATTCTTATTCTTTGTCTCATCAATTATTCTTATTATTAGTATTCTTAGTATTATTCTTATTTCTCGTTTTTCATTTTTTCTTGTTCTTATTCCAATTCCAATTGGAATATCACCCGAGCCGGGGCGCGGGAATTACCTTTTTCGTTAATTTGCGTGGTTCTAACTATGTCGTTCGGCGAAAACCGCCACCCATAATTATTTAATTTTGGTGCGGTGCTAATGATAACTCTGGGGGGGGTCCGGGTCCTTCATAGCTTGATGAGGTTAACCTCGTGTCCTGTGTCTTGCGACCCCTCGGAAGGGTCTTGTGTCATCTCGCGTGTCCTGTCCAATCAAGGCCGACTATAGTGGCTCGATGACTGTGTTCTCCATTGTGTCCCGGTCCTGGCTTCGTCTTGGACGAGAGTTTCGGTCCTGGCCTCGTCCCGCGGCTCCGTGGCCACGGCCCGCACCGGGTCCCGCGCGCGGCTCGGCCGAGGCCGGCTGGCTGGCCATGGTCGTGGTGCTCGTTCTCGTGAGCATCGTTTCCGCGGCGGGGAGGGGTGCAGGGCTCACTTCGGCTCCTGCGATTCGATTCGTCGATTTCGATGGCTTCCGATTCAGATTCGATCCTTTTTCGGGTTCAGATCATGATTCCGATTTGTCAATGGGGATCTTACCAGCCTGCCGATTTCTGCCGATTCGACATCTCCCGTCTCGACTGCCTTTTTCCGCTGATGCGATCCATTTCGATTGCCGATCCGATTTTTCAGTTCGATTCCTGGGCTTTCTTGGGGATGGAGTCGCAGGCGACTGGGCCGGGCGTCGCCTTCAGTGCGTACAGGCCTCCCACATGGGGTCCGAGCAGATCGGGCCAGAGGATCGCTCCGCATCCGATGCATCGGCGATGTTCCTCGAGATGGAGCCCGATTCTCTCCACGCCGATGACGCCGAAGCATCGCCACCGTCGTCGAGGTATCGGGGATGCAGGACGGGTGGAGTGGCGAAACAATTTTGGGACGTCAGCTGACCACCTTGCCAGTGCAGACCGAGCCCATCCTGGGCTCAGGATCGGTCTATACGTCCTCCCGGCTTGGCCAGGGAGGCGTGGGATGTTTGGAGTCGGCCAAACGAATTCATATTGGTCGCGAGAGAGAGAGCTGCGCGTGCGATCGTGCTATGAGGGCGACCTCGCGAACCGGGAGGATATTCGTGTACACGGCTGCGCGATCGCTCCCTAGAGGTGGAGGACGAGGGGGACGACGGAGGGGACATGCGGGGGAAGAGGACAAGAGTTGATGTTGATGATGATGATGATGATGATGATGATGATGATGATGATGATGATGATGATGATGCTGATGATGCTGATGATGATGATGATGTTGATGTTGTTGTTGATGCTGCTGATGATGATGATGATGGTGATGATGATGGTTGTGATGGTGATGGTGATGATGATGGGGATCAGAATGATGATGCTGCTGCTGATGTTAATGATGCTGATGCTGATGCTGCTGATGCTGCTGCTGCTGATGATTATGATGATGATGCTGATGCTGATGATGCTGATTATGCCGATGCTGTTGATGGTGATGCTGGTGATGCTGATGATGCTAATGATGACAATGATGGTACTGCAGATGATGGTGATGCTGATTTTGTTGTTGATGATGATACTGATGAGCGTGATGATGGTGATGATGATGGTGCTGTTGATGAGGATAACGCTGATGATGACGATTCTGAGGCTGCTAGTGCTGATGCTGCTGGTGATGATGATGGCGGTGACGATGACGATGATGATGGTATTGATACTGATGATGATGGTGATGGTGATGTTGATGCCGATGATGGTGATGATGGTGATGATGGTCATGTTGATGATGATTGTGCTGATGGTGATGATTATTCTGACGATGATGATACTGCTGCTGCTGTTGATGATGATGTTGACGGTGATGGTGATGATGGTGATGGTGATGGTGGTAGCGATGGTGATTGTGATGGTGGTGATGTTAATGATGCTGATGAGGATGAGGAGGATGAGGAGGCGGAGGAGGAGGAGGAGGAGGAGGAGGAGTGGGGCGGTGGAAAGAAAAGGAGAAGGAGAGGATGGGGGGGACGAGAAGGAGGAGGAGGAGGAGGCATAGCAGTAGTTGGGCGGAGGGAAGGAGACCCGTATCTCTCTGCCAAAGACATGCTGGAATATAGTTCGCGCAAGGGCCAAGATCGACCCTCGTATTGGAGCAGTGCCCTTCTGTTCTTCGTGCCTGAGCTCTCCACCCTGGAGTGCTTTACGATTTGAGTGTGCTAACGGGGCCTTGAACACTTGTCGAAAGGGCCTGGGTTCTTGACCCGTGCTCCTCTGGCTCAGTTCCGGGTGCAGGAGTCCTTCGGGGCCCTTTCCCCAAGTCTCTCCTCGGGCGCCCCATCGCAGGTCCGGCCACGATCGGGACCAGAAGCGGACCCTTTGGGGAGAGAGGGTGCAGCTGGGCTTGTCGCTGTCGTCGTTGTTCGCCGCTGGCGCCTGCGCTGGAGGAGGACTGCCCCCGCTCGTCGCTGTCACCGTCGCCGCGGAGATTTGTTTTACATCGCCCCGTCACAGAAATGAGTTCCTAGTGGCGAGAAGCCATCTTTTTCATTTGACTTGAACGCCCCACGGTTTCGTACTATTGCTCGCCGTCTTTAATTCCATGTACGGCTCCTCGTGGCCAAATTTTGGTTGCACTTGGATTTGGAGAGCGCGCCGCCAAGGGGCGCTCGCCCATGGGCGCGGTCGGACCTTCTCAGAAGGCTCGGAAGGTCCCCGGCCTTCTGAGAAGTTTTCCGAGGTTTCCCCGAAGACAGAGAACACCTCTCAGAAGGCGCGAGGGGCTTCTAAGAAGTCCCGCCGCCTTCTGAGAAGGCCTTCTCCTTCTCACTCCCCCCCCCGCTCGCCGCCGAGAAGGGGCTTGCGTTCTTGACCCGCGCTCTGTTCTCCATGTTTCGGCTGTATCGGCCACGTGAGCGCATCTGAGGTCAGGGAGTGCCGGCCGACGCTCACAGGGGGGGGGGAGCGAGTGGGACGGCCCTCAAAGAAGGCGGGGGGGGAGGGGGGTTCTTGCAGACAACCCGCACGGCAAGGACGGGCAACTTTCTTTCAAGGTCACCCTTTCTAGGCCTCCTAGATGGGGTCCGAGCAGATGGGGTCGGAGGATCGCGCCGCTTTGCCGATGCATCGGCGATGCGGCTCGATGTGGAGCCCGGGTTTCTCCACGCTGGCGTCGCCGATGTTTCGCCTGTCGTCGTTGGTGCATGGCCGATGCATCGGCGATGCCTTGGCGATGCGGCGCGATCTTCGGACCCCAGCTACTCTGGCCGCATCTAGAGGAGGCATCTACCCTGGCTCGCCGCCGAGCAGCTCTGGGAGCCCGAGCTCGCACGCCGCTATTTCCTCGTCCTCCTCTTCCTCCTCCTCATCTTCCTCCTCCTCCTCTCTTCCTCCTGCAGCTCCAGCTGTTCGACGAGAATTGAAGCCGCTCGGACAAGAAGGGGAATCCGGGGATGCATCCCAAGGGGGCTAGTCGGACGCACCCCTTTTCGAGGATGGACGCCCCCCCGCCGTGTACTCCAGGGTGTGGCCCAAAATTTCTGGTTCATTCGGAAACCCCAGGAATCCTGGGATAGGGGCCGACATACTGGGGGGGGGCGCGCATCAAGAAGTCGTACGCTTTTCGTCAGGGTATCCTGGGTTTCTTCGCTCCGCTCCCTGCGCGGTGACTTCCCAGAGCCGTTGAAGAAGTTGCTGCGTTCAGGGTGCTCAGGGTTTCCCCTGAGATGTATGCACCTCGCGCGCGGGTTTTCAGTCTGCGCCACCTCAGCGTACTAATATTGTGTGTGCGTCGCCCCCAGGGGGGCGGCGCGCGCACCGAGAAGTCTGAAGTCTGACAGTCAGAGTGAGGGGGCCGAACGGTCATTCATTGTCCCTGGGTGCGTGGCTGAATAAGGAGTTCGTGGTGAGAATTCTGTTTGTTGCGTGGTGGTTGTTCTTGTTGTTGTTGTTGATGTTGTTGTTGTTGTTGTTGTGGTTGTTGTTGTTGTTGTTGGTGGTGGTTGTGGTGGTGGTGGTCGTGGTGTTGTTGTTATTGTTGTTGTTGTTGTTGTTGTTGTTGTGATTGTTGTTGTTGTTGGTGTTGGTGTTGTTGTTGTTGGTGTTGTTGTTGTTGTTGTTGTTGTTGTTGTTGTTGTTGTTGTTGTAAGTGTTGGCGTTGTTGTTGGTGGTGTTGGTGTTGGTGTTGGTGTTGGTAATGTTGTTGTTGCTGTTGTTGATGGATGTTTAATTCCAAAACAGTTATTATTGTTGGACCCCTTACAGGCGCCCTGGCGCTCTCGCCGAGGCGCCGGCTGCATCTTCATTAAACATGAGGCTCACTTTCAAGCGGTTTGGGGGGCTGCCCAAACCGGCCCCCCAACAACAACAACGCTCCCGTTCGAGACTTCTTTCTTTTTTACTCAGGGCCGGTGCTCTTGCTCGCCGCCGAAAGCAGCCGTCTCAACAAAACCAGCGCTCCCGCTCAAGACGTCCTACCGTTTTGCCTTGGCCAGGCACGCTACTCTTTCTTTCATTGGCGCCGCCCCCCAGCAACAGCAACGCTCCCGCTCGAGACTTCCTCCCTTTTTTACTCAGGGCAGTGCTCTTGCTCGCCGCCGACAGCCCCCGTCCCGACAAAACCAGCGCTCCCGCCCATGACTTCCCCCCGTTTTACGCTGGACTGGCGCTCTTTTCTCCTCCTCCTCCTCCTCCTCCTCCTCCTCCTCCTCCTCCTCCTCCTCCTCCTCCTCCTCCCCCTTCTCACTCCTCCCCCCTCCCTCCTCTTCCTCCCTTTTCCTTCCTCCACCCTCTCCTCTTGTCCTTCCTCCCTCCTCCCTCCTCCGTCCCTCTTTCCTTCCTCCTCCTCCTCCTCCCCTCCCCTTCTCCTCCCTCTCCTCCTCCTCCTCCTCCTCCTCCTCCTCTCTCCTCCTCGTCCTCCTCCTCCTCCTTTTCCTCCTCCTCTTCCTCCTCCCTCCTTCCCCCTCGTTCTTCCTCCCTCTTATTTCCTCCACCCCGTCCTCTTCTCCCTCCTTCCTCCTCCCTCTCTCGTCCCTCTTTCCTCCCGCCTCCCTCCTCCTCCCTCCTGCTTTCCCTTTTCGCCCTCCGTTTCTCATCCCTTCCTCTAGCGTCCCTCTTCCCTCCTCCCTTCCCCTTCCGTCTTCCCTTGTCGCTCCCGCTTGATACTTCCTCACCTTTAACTCAAGACTGGGGCCTTCGTTTCGGCATCGCCTCTGGGTGGGATTCCAAGAGCCCCTGTTGAACCTCATTCGTTAAGTAATTATCATTGTTGGAAAGCGCAGATGATGTGGAGGAGGACGAGAAGAAGGAGGACGGATGGCATCCAGGGGCGCCAAGGGTCGAGGGTCGAAGGATCGTCATCAGGGATCATGTGAGAGGGTGTGGAGGGGCAGGTGGAGGATGCGGTCAGGGCCACGCGCGGAGGCCGCAGCATGATGGCGTAACTGTTCGAAGGAGGAGTAAGAACCACCTCGCCTCTGGAGGGACTGCTGCTACAACTACTACTCCTTCCTCCCCTTCCCCCTCTTCCTCCCTCCTCCTCCTCCTCCTCCTCCTCCTCCTCCTCCTCCTCCTCCTCCTCTCCCTCTTCCTCTCCCGCATATTCCCCTCCTCGTCCTTTTCCTCCTCCGGGATGCGGGGCGCGCGAAAGGCAATTTCGATGGCGACGTGCCGTCTGAGCTGCGGATGTCGAAGTTCCTCGGAAGAGGCGGTGGCAAGACCTTCTCGGGCGGGAGATCTGGGCGAGGGAATATCCGGCCCCGCGCGCCGGGGAAATCCCCCATGATGGGACGCGGTATCCGGAACGATGCGTGTAACGTGTGGAAGCATGGCGCATGATGGTAAAACGATTGCTGTTGTCCTTGTTGTCGTTGTTGTTGTCGTTGTCGATGTTGTTGTTGTCGTTGTTGTTGTTGCCGTCCCGCCCGCGACCCGCCCGCGACCCACCCCGCGACCCACCCCGCGACTCACCCTGCGACCCACCCCGCGACCCACCCCGCGACCCACCCCGCGACCCACCCGCCCCAACCCGCGACGCATCCTCGACCCATCCGCGACCCACGTGCGACCCGCCCCGCGACCCACCAGCGACCCTACCCGCGAGCCACCCTCAAGGGAGGAAAACCACCCGGGCCCCAACATTGACGTTTACTAAACGGCCTTGGGCGTCGACTAAGCAGCCCTGCCCTGTCCGATTCATTCCATGTGTGCGTTTACTAAACGTCTTCGCTTGTCGGCGTGATTATTGTGGGGTGGACTTTATGCCCACTTGCGAAGGGCTTAGGCGACCCGTCGCAAGTGGGTCGCGGGTGGAGGGCTTCTGCGAAGGGCTTAGGCGACCCGTCCTCCTCCTCCTTCTCCTCCCTCTCCCTCCCTCCTCCTCCTCCTCCTCCTCCTCCCTCCTCCTCCTCCTCCTCCTCCCTCCTCCCCCCTCCTCCTCCTCCTCCTCCTCCTCCTAAGCCAGGGCTTAGGGCTTGGACGCCCGCGACCCCCTTGCGACCCGCCCCGCTGGCGCCCCGCATTGGTTTTACGCTGTAAATTTGTGAACGTTGGCGCTCCGGCGGGGGTTTTCTCCACCTCCCCCCTCCTCCCCCTCCTCCTCCTCCTCCTCCTCCCCTCCTCCTCCTCCGCATCCTCCTCCTCTCCTCCTCCTCCTCCTCCTCCTGAAAACAAGTCTCGCAAACTGCCGGCGCCCCCACCTTCCTCCCCTGCTCCTCTCCTCCTCCTCCTCCTCCTCTCCTCTCCTCCTCCTCTCCTCCTCCTCATCTCTTCCTCCCTCCCCTCTTCTCCTCCTCCCTCCCCCTCCTCCTCCTCCTCCAATCCCCCCCACCCCCCAGGACCCCCCTCCCCAGCAGGGAAGGGCGACATGGAAGGGAATCGACTTGCCTGCGAGTTTGTTGTTTTCTCCTTGTGCCTCACCCTTATCCGCGCGGGGTGCTACGGGTATCTGATCGTCGGCGGGCGCTTTCTGGCCATACCTCCCGGGAAACGATATATTACAATATGGTTATGCTATGTGTTCGTGTTGGACGCACGCCTCTAGCGCTCGGAGCGCCGCGCGGGCCGCCCCCGCCCGCCCCCGCCCGCTTGCCTGCGGGTCGCCACCGCCCTGTTGGCGGGCCGCCCCAGCAGAGGGGCCTCTCCTACTTGCGGGCCGCCACAGCCACCGCCCGCCCCCTGGCGGCGAGGGAAGGCTTGCGGCAGGCTGTTGCTCGCGGCCATGCGCGGCATGCCCAAGAACGAAAGCTTCCAGTTGCGCGTGGACGGCGCGTGCCCCCTCCGCGGAGGAGGAAGATCATCGAGCGCGTCCCGCTGCTCGCAAAGTGCGTACTCGCATGTGTTCCTCTCTGGAACGGATCGTAAATCCCCCGCGGCCTATCCAGGCCATTTGCGAGTAGTTGCTTTGGGGGTAGCGGGCGCGCTTGTCGAGAAAAGGTACCCCTAGCGTTGCCTTTCCCTCGTTTTCTCCTTTTTCTGGGCCTCCTGGGAGGCCCTCGTCGCCACCGTTGGATTCCCTTTCGAGATTCTTGTATCGGTACCTTCTGGTTTCTCCACCTCCGCCTCTGGCCCACCGCGGCCTGAACGGGTGCCTTTTTGCTCAGACGCGGGCGAGTTGAGACAACGGTGGTTGGCCTTCGGGGAGCCGCTCGTCGACACGGCTGGACGCAGTTCGGACAACTGGTGCGTTTGGACCCTGGGCGGGGTCTTGGGGCCGACTCTGAGCTGCGGTTGTCTCAAATCGGCTTTCTCCGCATTGAAGAGTTCGGGGGACGTCAACCGGTCCCGGCCAGGCTCGCTCGGGGCCCAGGATCGGCTTTTCCAGGATGGATGAGGTCATGGGCCGATTTTCCACCACCAGTACTATGGGTAGGAGAGGGAGGAGGAGGAGGAGGAGGAGGAGGAGGAGGAGGAGGAGGACCTCCCTATCCTCCCTTCTCCCCCGTCCTACACACGGTAGCGGTGGCGGAAAATTTGCCCATCATAATTGGTGCGGTGACTGGAACATCAGGTGAGTGAATGAGTTCGCCGACGGTGTCTCGGGCGACTGGGGCCTCCAAAAGTTCCAAGACCGTGCGGTGAGGTGCCCTGTGGTTTCGAGGGCATCGCGCGGTCTTTCACCGCGCCGTTTTGAGGCTCCCAAGGTAAGATGGCCAGTTGACGTCGCCCGAGGTCAATATCGGAGCATCTTGATTCTCGCTGCAACCTCGGCGGATCAGGGCGAACGAAGGGGGAGGATGTGGAAAGCTTGGACTATGACATCGGCTGCATGCACCTGGTTTCGGACTCGCCGCCGAACGCAGTCCTGGATGCACTGGCGCCGCCAGCGCCAGGCGGCGCCGCAGAAACCAGCTACGTGAGCTAATTCGCCAACCTCCGTCTGGAGGGTTTCTCCGAAGGGCTTAGGCGATCCGTCCTCCTCCTCCGCCTCCTCCCCTCCCCACCTCCTCCTCTCCTCCTCCTCCCTTTCCTCCTCCTCCCCTTTCCTCCTCTCCTCCCTTCCTCCTCCTCCCTTTCCCCTCCTCCCCTTTTCCTCCTCCTCCTCCTCCCTTTCCTCCTCCTCCTCTCCTCCTCCCTCCTCCTCCTCCCTTTCTCCTCCTCTTCCTCCTCCTCCTCCTCCTCCCTCACTTTCCTCCTCCTCCTCCTCCTCTTCCTCCTCTCCTCCTCCTCCTCCTCCTGCTCCTCCTTCTCCTCCTCCTCTGGTCGCCCACGGCCCCGGGGGAAGCGGTGCACCTCCGTCTTTACTACCCCCCCCCATCCCTCGCCGATCCGGGGGGCTGGAGGCGGGGGCGGGCAGCCTGCCCAGGCGCGGCGGGTGTCCCCATCTGGGGCACGTCGCCGTTCTGTCGGCAGTGTGTCGTCGAGTCCAGGTCACAGTGTCCCCCCCTTTGCAGCTGCCCGCCGCCCCAGCACCGTGCCCCAGACAGGTCCCCCCCCCCTGCATCGAAGAAGAGAAAACACCATCAACATAAACTTGCGGTGCTCAGCGCGGATTTCTTGGATCCGCGCTGGGGCCCCCCCGGCGGCGCCTCCCGCGCGGCCCCTAGCGCGCTCCGCGCGCCAGGGAGGGGGGTCCAGCGCGGATCCAAGAAGTCCGCGCGGAGCGCCAAAAGTTTATGTTGATGGTGTGTTTCTTCTTAGAATTGCTGCAGATGCCCGCCGTCCCGCCATGAAGCAGGCGGGGCGGCGGGTCCTGGGGGGAAAGGCGTCCTGGAAGTCCTTCCCTGTCTCCGGGCCCCAGGGTGGCCCTTCTCGGCCCGAGGGCCGTCAGAAAAAGACTCGGAGCGAGCAGTTGTTGGTCACAGGGGGAGCCCCGAGGTCCAGGAAGGGCCAGGTGGGTGGCGGGAGGATGGGGGGACGTCCCCACTGGGAGAATCGGGGGTGGACAGACCTCCTACCCTGACACGTCGATTAAGGAATTGGCCGTTTTCGGTTCGCGAGAGGGCGTCGCGGCCGTCATTTTTGCGGGTCCAGGTCCATCGGTTTCGGTCCCAGGCCGTTTTCACTAAGGGGGGTTTACTAAAGGGAGGTTTGTCCACCGCCGAGAGAAGTCGGCGTCACTCCAACATACTTATACTATATGTGGTTCGTCCCCCCAGGGGCGCCGCGCGCACCGAGAAGTCTTATAGCATATGCGTCGTGGCGGGCGCTTCCTGGTCACACCGCTGGGGAAGCGATATGCTCCAGGATGGGTACACTCTATGTTCGGGTCGGGCGCGCGCCTCCAAGGAGGACATACAGTGCTGGTCTTAGTGGGCCCCGGAAACAGTAGGGCCGTTTTTTTATCGTTTCGAAGAAGTGCCCCTTGAAAATGGAAACGGCAAAAAAACGGCGACCGGAAACGGCAGCAAAAACGGCTCCAGGCTTGGAACTGGAGCTGGAACCGGTCAAAAAACGGCGACGGAACCGGTAAAAAAACGGCGTCGGAACCGGCAAGAAAACGGCAACGGAACCGGTGAAAAAACGGCCCTGTCGTTTCCAGGGCCCACTACAGGGTACTGGTATGTCTCTGTGCGCCCCCAGAAGGGGTGCCTGCGTGGCGAGCCCGGGCGTCGGTGCCGGCTCCTGCTCCGGCTCCGGCTCCGCTCCGCCGCTTCTCCCGCCTGGCCTCGCGCCACCGGGGGGCCCCGTCGGCCGAAGGACGAAGGCGGCTGAGTCAAGCAGTGGCGAAGCGTCCTGGCTCGCCTATGGCCCTACCACACAACGTTCTAAGAACCTTATGTGGTTTCTACGAAATGTTCTTAGAGCATTTCTGGCGGATATTGTCTTGTTTTAGCACATGAGGTTTATGCTCTAAGAACATCGTTATTGTTCTTAGAACATTTTTGGGTTCTAAGAACATTTTGTGGTAGGACTGTAGGAATGCCGGGACGGTGGGTCCCTGCTCAGCTGAGAGGCCGAGTGTGGAGGAGAGATCTGCACGAACGAAATGGGTACGGAAAGAATGGGTACAATGCCCAACAGCAGTTCCTGCTCATTTTGAAGATCGGGCCGGACGAAAGGGGGGGGTACGAAATCTGTTGCATGCAGCTGGTTCCGGCCCCACCGAGGGGCCCATTCCTCGATACATAGCCGCCTCCGGCGCCGGGAGGCGCCGGGAAAATCAGCTACATGTGAGCTGATTCTCAACCCCCCCCTTTGCTATCCCCCCCTTTCGCCCGGCCCGAGAAGAGGACTCGCTGTCCGTGCCGTCGCGGCCTGTGTCCATTTGAGACAGAAGGCCGCGTGCCCAACAGCGGCCGCTGTTGGTTTGGGAGAACATTTGTTGTTGGGCATTGTACCCATGTTTTCCGCGCCCATTGCGGGCGTCCAAAAGGGAGGGACGGAGAATGGATGGGGGACGAAGAGAGAACGGATGGAGGACGGAGGGCAGGGTGGAGGATAGAGGGGATCAGAGGCGACGATAGGGGCGAATAGCCCAGGGGAGAGCAATACGTGTAGTCAGGTGCGCCGATGATCCGTGTCTTCGAGAAGGCTCCCGGGCGAATGCGTGTAATGCCCGCCCCTGGGCTAGTCGCCCCTACCGTCACCGCCGAGGGGCAGGACCAGGGCAGCGACCAGTGGCATAAACATAAAAACTCTGAGGTCTGCGCGGACTTCTTGGATCCGCGCTGGACTCCCCTCCCTGTCGCGCGGAGCGCGCCAGGAGCGGCGCCAAGGTCTTAGTTTTCGGGCCAAAAATTATAACGTGTCTGACTTTTCGGGCCGAGAACTAAGAATGTCTTAGTTTTCGGGCCGAGAACTTAAGACATTGCTGTTGTCTGAGACATGTCTGAGTTGTCGTCCCAAGGAGTCAGCAATGTCTTCAGTTCTCGGCCCGAAAACTAAGACATTCTTAGTTCTCGGCCCGAAGAGTCAGGCACGTTATAGTTTTTGGCCCGGAAACTGAGACCTTGGCGCCGCTCCTGGCGCGCTCCGCGCGACAGGGAGGGGAGTCCAGCGCGGATCCAAGAAGTCCGCGCAGACCTCAGAGTTTTTATGTTTATGCCATTTCTCGTTTCCCTGAGGATGGAGGTTCCTCCCTTCCCTTCCTCCAGGAGTTTCCCGACCTGCTCCAGTTCTACCTGCCCCGGGCCTGGTGCCCGCGGCCGCCGCACGCTTGCTGTGCGGCCACACGCTTGCGCGCGGCGCCCAACCTCCCCTCCTGCTCCTCCCCTGCCTCGTGGACATAGTGTACTCGAGTGAAGAAACTTGTGTAGTCTGCACCGACATCGGCGCGTAAGCTGCCCGCGCAAGGTCGCACTTCAGCCCCCTCGCTTCCAATGTAGTCAGTATGCCGCGCTGGCGGTCCGCGCAAGCTGCAGCGTGAGGTCGCTACGCCATCTCGAGTAAGACCCGTTTCTGATCGTCGTGCACATGGCTTGAGAAAACAAACGCGATGGCCATGGTCAATATGTCACGGGATCTTGTTGACGCCGCTCTTGGTCGTGGTCGATGCGGTTTCTGTATCATTTCTTCTTCATCTTCTTCTTCTTCCGACTCGGTGGAGGCGCGACCCCCCCTCTGGTAGAAGTTCGGGGCCGATTTGGGCACCTGCTTCAATCAATTGGACGAAGCACGGGGGCTGTGCCGCCGCGTGGGGACTCAATAGCGCTTTCTGGAAAAAACAGCGGCAGGACTCAGGGGCGCCGGTCGCGATCACAAAAATACATTCATCCGCCAGCCTCGGTTGTCATTTCATTCGCCTGTCCTGGCTGGCTGCTCTCTGAGCGCTGTGGAGTTTCATGTTCTGTGTTCGTGTTCCGTGGCCTGGCTGTTCTCTAAGCGTTCCTTTTGCGACTTGCATTTGGTGGTCCACGGAAGCCTGCATAGCATCAAATGTGACAAATAGTCACGAAACAAGCAGAAATCCCGACTCACGGCCGCGCGCATTTAGCCAGAGTTGTATCTTTCTCCTAGTGCGCGGGTTCCCGAACCTTGTGTTGCATCATAGTATCCCTTTAAATGCAAATTCCCGCTTGATTCAACCAGCTTCAATAATCCGTAAGGGCTTCGCCCCCTGACGCCGGCCCCCTCTATATCATAATGGAATCTATCAGAGTCAAATCGGCACGTCTCGGCGCTGCCTTAGCGCCTCTTGGAACATCATGCGGGGACGGATGGGCCTTCGGCCCACCCCGCCACGGTGCTTAGGTTGTGGGTCTGAGGCCTCTTGTACATTTGTTGGGTTGTTGTGGGGAGCCTCTCGGGGGCCTCTTGAGGGTGTTGTGGGCGCGTTTGGGAGGCCTCTTGGAGGCCTCTTGGGCGTGATTTGGGCGCCATTGGGGGCCTCTTTGGGCCTCTTGGGGCCTCTCGTGGCACAAGTATCGAATGTTCGGTTCGTGGTCCCCTGCTTAGGCCCCTCTTGGAGCCGTGTTGGAGCCCTCTTGGGCTGCCTTGAGCGCTTCTTGGGCCATCTTGGAGCCCTCTTGTCCCATCTTGGGGCCCTCTTGGAGGCGTCTTGGGCGATCTTGGGAGCTTCTTGAGCCGTCTTCGAGCGTCGGAAAGCCGAAAATGCAATAAAGCCAACATCTTTCGAACAACTTAGTAAAATCTACGGTTTGGGCATCTTAAGGCTCTCTCGGGAAGCCTCTTGGAGCGCTCTTGAAGTCTCTTGGGGCCCTCTTAAGCCGTCTTGGAACCATCTTCAGGCGCCTGTGAGCACTCTCGGCCTCACCATTGTGAATATGGCATAATGTGCAAAGGTTTATGACTTCGGGGACGCGAATATTGCGTAATTGACGAGGGGGTGTTGCCTCGGGGGCGCAAGCATTGTGTAATTTACAAGGGTTTGTGGCCCTGGGGACGCGAGCGTAATTTACTAGGGATTATGGCCTCGGGGGCGCGAATCTCATGTCTTTTTACATACGCGATTCACCTTTGTTTCATCCGAATTTCATTTCATCCGTTCAATTTCATCCGTTCAATTTCATCCGGTTCAATCTCCTCTGGTTCAATCTCATCCGGTTCAAATTCGCCCGGATTTAAAGTTCATCCGGTTTTCATTCCCCCAGTTTAGATTAATCCGGTTGTAATTCGTCCGGTTTAAATTCATCCAGTTTTAATTTCGTTTGTGTTCCACTGTGTGGTTCGCGCTGTTTATTTGTTCCATTCAAACTTTTCCTGTTTATGAACTCGTCCGGTTTAAATTCGTCTTGTTTAAATTCACCCGTTTCAACCTCATCCGTTTAAATTTATCATTTTTTGTTGTCCGGTTCAAATTCATCCGGTTTTAATTCGCCCGGTTTAGATTCGTCCGGTTTTATTTCGTCCGGTTTAATTCATCCGGTTCTAATTCGACCAGCTTACATTCATCCAGTTTGAATTCGCCCGGCATCGGGTTTTATTTCGTCCGTTTCAAATTCGTCCGGTTTGAATTCGCCCAATTTGATTTCTGCCCGTTTTAATACGCCCGGTGTAAAATTCTCCCAGAGGACGCCCCGTATAGGAAACGGCGTGCGCGCCATAACGCCTCAATTCTGACCTCGGAATCCGGCCGATGTCGGAAAGTAGGGGGCTGGAGTCGGGAACGCGGGAGTTCGAGTCGGAATGACGGGCGTTGGATTCTGCAAGTTGGTAGCCGGAAGCGGGAAATTGAGAGACGGAGCCAGAGAGACGGGCGTCGGAGTCGGAAAATTTGGAGTTGAATTCGGAGAGATGGGAGCTGGGATCGGAAAGTTGGATATCGGAGTCGAAAAATTAGGAGACTGAGTCGGAGAGTTGGGAGCCAGAGTCGGAGAGATGGGAGCTGGAATCGGTTGGGAATCGGCGAGACGGGCGTCGGAGTCGGAAAATTGGGAGCTGAATTCGGAGAGATGGGAATTGGGGTCGGAAAGTTGGGTGTCGGAGTCGAAAAATTAGGAGACTGAGTCAGAGAGATGGGAACGGGAAACGGAGAGATGGGAGCTGGAACCGGTTGGGAGCCAGAGTCGGGGAGACGAGCGCTGGAGTCGGAAAGTTCGGTGTTGGAGTCAGAAAATTGCGAGCGGAGGACGGGGAATGGGGAATTGGAAATAATAAGAAGGACCGCAATAAGCACCACTTTGAGCGACGGGAGCACAGCGCCGATCCGAGAAGGAGGCCCACGCTGTAGCGGCAGTACCATTTCCAAATGCCAGGAACAATCGGATTGCACAACAACGCGTAAAACCACAAACATTGTTGACATCTTTCGTGTAGAACGCACTTGGCGGGATGGGAGATCTTCCGCAAATTCGGTGGCGGAAGGAGAATCGCACCCATATGGTTTGATTGTGAAGGGAGGAAAGAAGAGGAGGAGGAACCAGAAAAGGAAGCGACGGAGGATGATTAGGAGCAGAGCGAGCACAAAGGCCAAAGACCTCTTGGCTGCCTCTCGGCGTCTCTTCGGATTTGTTCTTCTGGTTTCGATTCGTCTGGTTTTCACTCGCCCGGTTTAAGTTCATCCTTTTTTATTTCGCGCGTGCATCGTCTATGCATCGCGCGTGCGTCGGCCATGCGTTGGCGATTCGTTGCGATTTCCCGACCCCATCAGCTAGAACCCCATGCGGGATGATCAGAATTCACAACGAAACGCGTGTATTTCAAGCGGCTGAAGTGTCTGAATTGAAGAGCCCCGAGAACATCGGTTCAATTTTGATATTAAAACGCCCCCGCACAACATGCATCCCTGGACCCCTGGGAAGATCCTGGAAGCTAGAATAAACAGAAAACCTCTTCAAGTCCAATCCTGAATTTATGCCGGCCGAATTAAACCGGATGAATTCAAATAGGTTCGCGTGACAAGTGTTTCAAGCAATTGCGCTGCTCCATAATTGGTTTCGTGTGTTTGGTCAAGTGGTTGTTGCGATTTACCAAATTTCCGAGTCCAGCTCCCATCAATCCGAGTCCAGCTCCCAATTTTCCGATTCCGACGCCCGTCTCTCCGATTCCGTCTCTCAGTTTCCCGACTCTTGTTGCCACTTTTCAGAATCCAGCGCCCGTCATTCCGATTTCAGCTCCTACGTTCCCGACACCAGCTCCCTAGTTTCCGACTTCGGCCGAGTTCCGAGTTCAGAATTGCGGCGCCTTGGCGCACCAGCCGTTCTTTACTCGGGACGTTCTTTGGGCGACATCGGCGCCGCTCCGCTCCGCTCCGGTCCGCTCTCCCCTGGTCCTCCTGTTCGTCCCGTTCCTTCTACCCCAGTTCCTGCTGCTGCTGCTTCTCGTCTCGCTTCAGCGCGGGCCACGTTTCTCAATCCGAATTGTCTTCATGATTGTCGCTCCCATCATTTCCCCTCCTCCGCCTTTCCCTGGTCCTCTTATTCCTCTCTCATCCCCCTCTTCCCGGTCATCCTCCTCACCCGCCACCTCCCCCTCGTGGGCATGCAGTTCCCGTTTTCCCGATTACGCACAACACGGATATTCGCGGACAGGGCGCGGGCCCAGGGTTCTTTTTTAGTATTGTTTTGTTTCTCCCCGGTCTCGGCCGGCTAAAGTATTTGCGAGAGATAGTGAGGTACAGTCCCATTCGGCGTGGACAATTTGAGGGTGTCCCTAGCGAGACGATGTTTTTTGAAATCCCGATCGATAAATCACAGGGTGCGGGACACACTTGGGTCAGGGGCACGGATCCGTGTGTTTGGACGCGTGTTCCTATAGATTGGCCCTCTCCAGGAGGCCCCAGGAGGTCCCATGTCACCCAGAGGGGGTATCGAACATGGTTGTCCCGAGAAGGGACCACGTGTGTTTAGTTGTCCAGGCCACCCAGGGGTGTATCTAACATGATTGCCCCGAACTGGAACCAGGTGTTTTTACGTGTCCAAGCCACCTCCCACCCAGGGAGGTATCTAACATGAATGTCCCGAGCAAGGGCCGTATGTTTGAACGTGTCCAGGCCACTCAGGGTTGTCCCGAACTGGCACCACGTGTTTTTCATGTCCAGACCACCCAGGGAGGTATCTAACATGGTTGTCCCAAGCAAGGACCACGCGTTTCAACGTTTCCAGGCCACGCAGGGGTGTATCTAACATGGCCCGTGTCCAGGGCACCCAGAGGGGTATCTAATATGGTTATCCCGAGCAAGGACCACGTGTTTTGACGTGTCCAGGCCACCCAGGGGTGTATCTAACATGGTTGCCC